CACAAATTTTCTTGCTCCCAAATTATACAATCTCTGCAATTTAAAATAAATAAATAATATAATAACATTAATTAGATAGTAAAAGAAGGTATTCATGAAGAAAAAAAAGCATTAAAAAAAGGCAGGGCAGCCGGGTGCACAAAGCATCCCATATTCACATAAAGTTCGGGGAAGAGTCATTACCCCAAGGTGTATGATTTAGACAGTCTACCCTAATGCAAACATAAGTGGCTGCTTTCGTTGCTCGAAATCATGACCTATTGGTCACATGAAGACAATTTTATCATTGCACCGAGGTATTCATGAAGACAAAAAGAATTTTAAAAAAAGGACAGGCCAGTCCGGTACACGAAGCACCCTGCATTCACGCATACTGACCAATTTTCCGAGGGGTGTGATGTAGACAACTTACCCTAATACAAGTACTAATAGCTGCTTCTATGGCTCGTACCCATAACCTATATAGGTCAAATGGAGACAACTTTATTGTTGTCTCCAAAGCTCCCCTTAAAGGATAAAAAATAAAGAGAGGAAGAAATATATATCTTACAGTAAGCTGTTGGCTATATTGTTGAACCAAGAGACTGGCATATTGCTGAGGATTATATCGATTCTTAGTGTCATAATTAGGCATTAGGTAATTGTTGAGGTAGTCATTGCTTCCCATTCCAACAAAGAACATGCATTTGGCTAATGCTTGTGCTACATCTGGTGCACCAAGATTATCTGTGATTTGATCAAGTGTGTTCTCAAAGTTCTTGATTTGCTGATTGAATGGAATTCTCCCAACCTGGAATATAATATCCAAAATTAACAAAACTCAAATAATTATTAATTTAAGTTCCTTGTCGGATTTCCTTCTTGATCAATAACAACTGCAGCATTGTCATCGTATCGAAATAAATATGAGTATATTAATTAGGAAATGCAATAATTAAGAACTTACAAAGTTTCTGCCAGTAATATCAAGAATCCCAGCAGCAGCAGAAGCATAGTTCACTCCGTAGGGCATTTTATCTCCTGAAGTATCTGCTGAAGCTTCTGTGTATGCTGGAATGAGTGGTAGTCCTAGCAGTTCAGCTGTGCATGTACATGCAAAGGATTACTATAAATTTTCTGAGTTTTTTTTCTTGCTCAGTTATTATTATTATTATTATTATTATTATTATTATTATTATTATTATTATTATTATTATTATTATTATTATTATTATTATTATTATTATTATTATTATATTACTTAGTTATATTCCCTCAAGGCAGTAATGAGTACAGTATATCTATCAAGCCATTCTAATAACTTCTGTTTGGCTATATTGATGAAGTTAAATATAGGTTAAAAGGGTATTATATGGAAAGATTCTTTCAATTACAATCAGAGGCCGACCTACTCGTAACAATATATGAGGGGTCACCGGACCCGTTAAGCTTCCGTAAAAATCATATATATGTATGTATCTTAGTATCTATACCTTAAAAATTATAACTATAATAAATAACTTGGCACTCCGAACACTAAAAACCTTTAGGCGGGCACTGCTATAAAGAATAGTGATGCCCACATCGTATTAAAATTCTATGTCCACCTCTAATTACAAAATACAATGAAAATTAATAACAAGTTAAGTAATATATAACCTGTTGTCACGATAAAATCATCATTTGAATTGGCTGAATATAAACCCTTCTAATCTTTAGCTTAACACACATGTGGATCTAAACTTACTACCTTAATGAATAACTAGAAATCAAGCCAAAACACACTGCATAATTCTCATCTCATGCAAAATAACATCTCTATATATAAACAGTAAAAATTCCCTGCAGTAATTAAGAGTAGGATACTTAACAGTTAACATACGTAAACAAGAATCAAGAAGGTATGCAGAAATGAAATTAAATTCACTGCAATAAGAGTAGAAAATAATGATTTGTTGCTAAAAAGAAGGCAGCCGTAGTAGAAATGATTTGCTGCTTTAAAAAAATGGCAGCCCGGTGTGCAAGGCATCATGCGTTCACGAAAAGTCTAAGAAAGAGCCGCACCCCAAAGGGTGTTATGTAGACAACCTAAATGTTAAAAAAGCATGCAAGTTTAATTTAATTACCAATTTCATCAACCATAGTGTAACCATTGGAGAAACGACCAGTAGGGCCACCATCAAAATCAATTCCATAAGGAAAATAGTTGGCCTTTGCAAAAGAGGGCAAGTTGTTATTATTGCCATTGTCTATTAAAGAATCTCCAAATATAAACATGGCTGGAACCAATGCCCTTCCTCTTCCACCACCAGCTTCTGGTGCCAATGCATCATCCACTTCTTGACATATTGCACTATTCACCAACACAAACACCACAAATAATGTACAAGAAAATATCCTTATAAGCTCATTATTAGCCATTTTTCCTAAACTAGTAGGTGTGTTATATTCTTTTTGTTTTTTTTCCTTTTCTTGACAAGTTTATGATGAGAAATGAAGGGAATTATGAGAGGGTTTAATATAAAGAAGGAAGATAGCGGTGGTTGGAGAGGAGTGAATGCTTTCACCTGTAAGCTGCTGTTTGCAGTAATTAAATAAGTGAATATACTGGAATTCTTTTTGGAAATTTTGAAATTCAAAGACATATAGGCCGCGTTTTTGCCATAAATATATTATTCTTCTGATCATTCCCATCCTTTTTGGACGATAATCATTTTTAGCCTGCCGGTCGAAACNATATATATATATATATATATATATAGGGCTATTATGTTGAAAGCGGCTATGCAATATTATTTTTACCGTGTCCTTTTTATCTGTCTTCTAAGGTGAAATGTTTCACCAATTTGAAGAGTATTTCAACTTGAAATAATTTGAAAAAACCTTTTGTTAGAAGGAATAATTTGTAGATTAAATTGTACAAAATAATACTGAAGTCACTAATACTTGCATTAAGGTACGGAGAGTGCCTACATAACACCGCCTTAGGTGCACCCTTCCCTGAACCCTATGTGAACACATGATGTTTCGTGGACCGATCAGCCTTTTTAAAAAAAACTTAAGTCACTTCCACAATCGATATTGTTTTGCCCTAATTTGACCTCAGATTTGACTTTCTCATTATACCAATTCTGAACATATTCTTGAAAATTTTCAAAACCTAGAAACTCGAATACAATTAAAGACGAAAAAAGTCAGCGCCACAAAAACTGAGACAGAGTTAGGTGAGTAAATGAGCTACTACTGTACAGTAACGGCTATAGTGAAAATAGTAATATATGTATTCTTATAGAGCTGTCACTACACTGTTTCTACACACACACACAAAAAAGAACAAAACCATTGGTTCCTTTGGGCAGCAGCAGCTGTTTCCTTTCATTTAATTAGCTCCATTGGCAGCTGAATAAGCGCATGAAGATGTCTTTAGGCAGAAAAAATTACATTTCCCAAGGAGGCAATGCATGGCCAGACTTTTTGTTTAATTTTCAGTTTGTTTTATCTCTATATGCATGCATGCATGCATGCAGAAAGATTATTTCTGGTGTGGTTGGTACTGTTGGGACAGTTGAGAGAGCGCAGCTTGCTTTGTATTTATTGCTACTTCTACTGGTCTTTTTTTGACTCGACTCCTTTTGGTTTATCCCCATGGGAATCGTTGCTGCATTTAGTCGGGAGCAGAGTCACGATCGGAGTTACAACAACAATAATAACATACTCAGTATGATCCCATAAATGAAAACTACAAAGAGATCAGAGACGGATCCAAGATTTTAATATCATGAGTGAACCACCGACCGAGTTTAGCATAAACTTGATGCTCGTTATAATGTCAAGTGATGTGAAATATTTTAGTAATTTATGACTTATTATTCATTTATACATTAACCAAAGTGTATACTATTCGAATTTTAACTTGCTATAGGCAAAATACTCGAGTAATTCTGGCTGATAAGTGATGATAGCTTGTGAGCACAAAAATTTCTGTTTCCTGAACTATCTCCCCATTTAGAAAAAATATAGGTTTACCTTTTATTTGTTTTACAAAATAACATTTTTTTCTTCATTTAAACGTTTAATTAAATATATAAGGTAAATATATGACTAGGTGAATTAACTTAATATAATTTCTCTTCATATTGATTGTTCTTTATCTCAAGATAAATTACCTCAGAATTCTTGCAGTATCTAACTTGGTCTTCCAGTATGTGTTATGGTTCCACAACATAGAAATCTGGGTATCCCAATTCTCAATAGAGGAGTCATACTTGACTGACAAAATAAAAGAAAATTGAAGACGAAAACAGTAACAAGGAAACAAAATTACATAGTGCCTGTTAGACCATCAAAATGTAGACTTGAAACTTGAAAAAATCACTGTTAGGAAAACACCAAGTGCGCTTTTTTAAGCACAAGCTCGCAAGTGGACTTAAATGAAGAAAGGTGCAAATGAAAAAAGAATTAATATAACTACATGTAATGCAAGGAGGAATAACTATAAACACAAAAACAATTATATGGAAAAATGAACTGACAAAACTACAGTTAAGTGAAATATATGAAGTAAATATTGTATAAATAGTTGAATAATCAATTTAAATTTCCGATTCAGGTTTGGTTACTGGTGTTCTTAAGTTAACCTTCTATATTCCTAGTGTAGCCACTATTCTAAAGAACATGCGTCATTCCTTTTCCAGTTTTAACTATTTTTTGGTCAGAACAGTTTTATAATGAGCTACATGCATTAGCACCTTGGTGCATGTACTGAAGCACCATCTAAATTGGCAAAGCAACTCAGCTGTGTTGCACCTAACTTCACTACTTCAGTACATGAGAACAACACCAGAGTATGAGAATAATGACATTCACGGCATCTTCCCCTGTTTAAGTCTTTCAGAAAGGCAGTGCTGTCGTGCTGATGCTTCTCAAAGTCCATGGTTGCAACTTGCAAGTATATAAACAAGAAAAGAAAGCGACATATATTAAAGCACTGGTTGTTCTGCATGTCATATATGAGACAAGTATTAAAAATCTCTAACGTATATTAATGAGTCACCAGAGGCTGTAAGGAATCAACAATGGTATACTTATTCGCGCTAACACTTCTGCTACTGTAATAGGACATAAAGAAAGCCAAAAAAAGAAATACATGTATGTGTGTCTATATACAAACAAGCAAAGAAACGAATTGTTAGAAGTGAAACTAATCTCAGTGAACAAGGAACATACAACAGGAGTTACAGAACTGCCCTAACACCGCCTTTACCACCCTCAGGAATCAATACATCAAAATCACTTACAGTCCATTCAGCAGTAGCCCCTTGGCTGCTAACATATATTTCTGTACCAACATTAAGTGAAGACCACACACGCTTTGCCGGTTTGGTTCCTGGATCCTGTGTACGTAAGATTAGAAGGTATCAGTCGCCTGTCTGTATATCTAAAATTGATTATCTACAAACTGCACCAGTGATATATCTGCCATTAATCTATACGTATACAGATATACTCCACGGACCATTTTAAGCAAAACTGACTTGCCCATAAAGGTAAGCAAACACGAAACTAGAGGCAGGGTTGACTAATTAGCTCACAAGTACTAAATTAAAAAAATACTAAATCTTAAATAAATTTTAAATCTGAATCAACATACTTTCTTGTTATCAAGCAATACATCTGTCACACGCCCCTGTAGTTTTCACACTACATAGACTGAGATACTAAAAAGGAAGTAATAAGCTAACAGGTTTCTGAAAAATTAAGGTACAGTAGAACCGTGTTGATCATGGAAAACCTTTTATGCTTGCATCTTAGATTCCTAGTTTCCCACAAAGAAAATCAAAGAAGGAAATTGTTGGAGCCCCAAAATAATAGGAAAATGAGCAACACAAGCAATTGATTCCAGAGCACCTAAGTGAAAGCATTGGACTCAGCAACAACACCACAAAGAAAAGAAAAGGAAAAGAACACCCCTTTCCGCAAAATCCACAAACCAGATTATGCAAGAATTAAGATTACCTGGTAAAAGTATAACCGATTAGATAAAGCTCCTACATCAAGCTCCCAACTCCTAGCATCCCCAATCCAGCCCTCTCCTTTTTTTGAAGGATAACCGTGCACAGCCCACTCAGGATGTGGCAGTATTTGCACCAATTCTTGAGCTTGAGGATTGCTGTACGGGTCACATATATCATATGGTTTCTCTAAATAATTTGCATTTCCAGGAGCACAATAGAGATGATAAGCAGAGTAAGGGAACCGAGAAGTATCATTTCTGTATATTATCTCCCCATTAGGGCTAACGTGGTAGGGTGGACAGGACACAAGGTTATCAGGACGACACCAACTCGAGGTTGCTGGATTGATAATCATCTCACTGTATCTCGTCACATCTGTTAAAACATCTCCATCACATGGATCTCCATTATTTTTCCAACAGCTTCCAATGTCGAGAAGATAAAACTGGCTATTGGAGCCTCCTCCTTGTCTAACTTCAAGTGTCAACTTTACCTTGAAGTTGGGTGACTCTGGAAGCTGCAAGGGAAAAAGAAAAAAAGAATTTGCTTAGATATGAACTTACAGCTCTTTATCCTTTCTGAAAGTGAGAAAAAATCACATCACGACACTGATACCCAGTCTTTAAGAGTCATCCCGTGATGATGATCAAATTCACTATATACACTTGGTGCGCAAGTTTCATATCACTAAAATCCTACATTTATAGAATAAGAACTTCCATAGGGAACAAAGCTGTACTCACAAACCTTTCTCATTATTCCACGGCCACTATAGTGATATCCTCCATTAAACCCTTCTGCTGCATCTGCTCTTAGATACAACATAAGCCATGGATACTTGAATGATGTCGTCAATTTGTTTGAGACAATCCAACTACCTGTGCTTAAATTCTTTTGCCATGAAACAGAGAAAAAAGATTTTCCATCTAGACCGGCAGTTAAATTGGCGTCAAGGTCATATGTTCCATAGAAACCTCCAATCAAAGATGCATGCTTCCCGTAGACTATCCTTGAGTAGTTATGGTAGACAAGTGGCTGATTCATGCAGCCCTCTCCAAAACATGGAAAATTTCTACCAGTCACTATCTTAGAAACTTTCCGACCATTTTCGGGACAAAGAGTCGTGTTCTTGTCAAAATTTCCATTTTTGAGCATTATCATCCAATGATACCATGGCTCAGTGGAATCATGCCCTTCACAAAGTGAACCAAGATACCGCTCCTTTTCCGCAGCATAAAGATCAGGATCCGTGTAAGCTTTATAATTCCCATCTGGAAATCTATCTCCAACTCCTAATCTATTGTCTACTTCTGTCACTTTATGGTGTACTTTACAAGTGCTTCGTTTCCGAAGAAGTGGACCGCCCGGAATATCTTGGTCACCTCACCATAAAAACCAAACCCAGTAAGAGTGGGCGGATCATAAAGTTGGTCTATACTAGCATTTACACAAGGCAATTAAGTCAATGATTCATGTAAATGAGTTCATCAAACAATATTCATTCCAAATCTTTCTGCTTTTTCTTCACCTTGAGAATCAGATTGTATATAACAAAAGAACTACCTTAGGAAAAGAAAGGGAAGAACAGAGAAGGATATATGCTTCAAAAAAAAATTAGACTGTTAAGCTCGAACATAGTAGCAATGATGGTTAGTTTATAAGGAAAACTAAATCAGGTTCAGTTCTTTTCAAGACTCACGTGGCAATGGGGCGGGTGCGGGGTTTTAACCCACAAAATTTCAACCCGCCCCGCCCCGCATAGCATGTTCACTTGCATCCACCCGCCCCACAACTGCACCAACATCCACCCGCCCCGCTCCGTTTTTTATTTTTTTATTTTTTTTTTACTTTGAATTCTCTGCTCAAGCTTTTTAATTTAGTTAATTATATTTACTTTCATTAAACTAATTTATTTTCCTTTTTCTTTGGTATTTTTCAAATGGAATGTTTCTTTTGGGATTTCAAATCTGGGTAACATTTAAGACTAAGACATTTTGGTTGCTTCAGTTGTGTCTTGTTGAAAAATATGCTTTTGAGCTATTAGGAGTTTAACACAAAAAAAAAAAAAAAACAGAAAATAATTAATGTAAATGAATTACAAAGAATTTTGTGAAGACAGAATTCAATCACTTGCAAAGCTGTAATTTAATCACCAGCAGTGAAGACAGAAGAAGACATTGTAATTGAGATATTTTACATTAATACAACCATAGGTTTGTGTAGAATAGATTCATCTCTTTCTTAATTTTGTGTCAGGATTTGAACCCGCAACCGCAATTTTTTTTTGTAAAAGTCAACCCGCCCCGCAACCGCACAGGCCCAAAACCGC